CTGATAATAATCAAAAACATCAGTGGCCCAAGGAGAGGACCCTGCGACACTCCTAATGTCGGGCCGTGCGAAGATGATCGAATTCGATTGACTTTAGTGCAAATTTTCTTTCCAGCTTGGTAGTCCTTCAACCGTGACAGAAGTGGTGCACTTATGCCTGCCCGACTTATTTTGTGCAGAAGCGGTCATGGTGAACTGTGTCAAATGCCTCCTCAAAGCCTAGGAAGACCACGTGGACTGGAATATTTACATCCCGGCATGGTGTCCAAGCATCTCAAGCCTATAGTAGGTTTGATACACAGGATCTGTTTTTCCTTAAACAATATTGGGCTTCATGGAGTCTATTAATCCTGTCAAGGTGCCCCCTGATGTGATCATCAATAGCACATTCCAGTACTTTTGATACCACTGAAAGTAGAGCTACTGGTCTATAACTAGTGGCATTTTGCTTATCCCCACTCTTGAAGGTCGATGAAAGGATGGCTCTTTTCCACTCCCTTAGCAGTCTCCCCGAATCTATTGAGTGTTGCAACAAGTCGCATATGGGCCTACAGCGAGCTTCGAAGCACTGTTTCAGAGCAGATGACCTGATGTCATCACAACCTGGGGACTTTCCAGGTGTGGGTCTGTAGCTGCCCTGGCACTATTGCCGGGTTTATTTAGAGAGTAACGACTAGGTTTTCTTATGGTGAAGTGTTAGTGCCACCATCCTAGTTCGTACTAGTAATACCCATATTGCTGTTTAACTGTTTGGCGAAGGGTAAACTGTATGTTTCAGCCATCTCCAAACTAGTGAGGTATTGACCTTTTTGACCTGCCAAGTCACATGCCCCCCAGCTGGTTGGTTTTCTCTTTGACACGAATCGGTACAAGATTTTTGGGGTTCACCAGAAGATTTAGGCAAGATTAGTCTGAAATGACCTCCTGTCACCTCTGACTTTCACATTGCACCGGCTTCTAAGTTTCAGGCATGTGTCGTGGTCGGTCTGAATCTTGGATACTAGCCACATAGACCAGGCCTCCCACTCTGCTTGCGGAATACGTCGCGTACCTCTCCTCAGCCATGAGGACGTTTCCTTCGTCTGTGTTGTCACTAGAGGGACGGTTTCTGAGATTGCTGTGTGAATAATCTTTTGCCACTCTCCAGTGTTCATCCACATATAACTCAGTCCAGTCTGTGGGCCATTCTGCGTCGGACAAAAGACTCCGCATTTCACTGTAGTCCACCCTGTTATAGCACAGACATGTTCGCTCAGCATCCCACTGTAGGCGCTCGCGGAGTACAAGATTGAATCCAGTGACTGCGCGGTCACTAATTCCTAGTGGGGTCATGATCTGGACATTTTCTGCAAGTAGTTGATCACTGGTTAGAATATAATATAGTTTCAATGACTTTCCCACACTCATTGGACCCACCTAGTTTCGTCTCCAACTTTCTCAGTCAGTCCTGTATTTCGAATGGTTTGGAGTAGATTTCGACCGAGTTTTCCCTGAGCAAACCTCGAGCCAAGGTTCAGTGATGGGGCATTGAAATCTCCAGATATGGTGATTTGATCATAGCCCAAGTCCCGTATCCTCGTGATGGTGCTGAGCAGTAGCTGGTTGTACTCTCCCTCACAGGTGGGTGATTGATAGGTGCCACTCAGTAAATATTTGGTGTGGCCTACGGTGAAAATACAGTATATGGAGTTTGGGAGTTCAATAAGCGGTGGGTCCATTGCACGTACACATATAAGTTGCTAGTCAAAGTATTTGTCAACTCCTCCGCTTCCTTCTGATCCCTGTCTCTCCTGACCAAAACCATATCACTTATACTGATTTCATTGTCAGTGATAGTGGGGGTTAGCCAGGTTTCAGTAAGGATTATTATTTTAAGGTGTGGGCGTGACTGGAGGTTCCTGAGTTCATCTACTTTCCTTCTCATCCCTCTCACATTGCCATAAAGGCAGCTGATAGTGAGTCTCACAAACTCAGCGTGTTGTGAAGTAGTTGACGTTACGCTGTTAGCTACTGGGGGAATTGATATTGGGACTAGTTGGTCGATTCCGATGGAACCGGCCAGTTGTCTTTTTTCCTTGGATTCGGGTAGGACACTTGGGTGACACTGACTGTCATTCTCAGTACCACATCGCTCTAATGTTACTGAGGCTTGGGGACATATAAAGGCTTCAGTTCGCTGCCTCCTTATAGTTCGAGGTTTGCTTTTGCAGCATCATATGTGTCCTTCCAATTTTTCCTTTGTCTCGTACCACTGTTGAATTCCTAGAGCCAACTGTTCCTAGGAGTTGAATTTGACACTTAGCAGCCTTGGGGAGCTGATCAATGTGACATGAATTAGGTGAAGTAGCAGTAAAATCGAGATTGCTCCAGAAGCACCAAGGGCCGTCTAAGATGACAGCCATCTCCATTGCTGTACGTCACGCATGTGTTTTTCACAAGCAGTGCCAGTTCATAGCTCTGGAACACGGTGTATGACCATAGAGGTAGAAGGCATCAATTCCGGTGACTCCCTCACCATTCGCCTGTTAACCCATGACCTATCATGTCTCACTTATAGTGGATCTCCTGCCGATAGCTAATACCTTAACCAGTAACAGTTTTCTTTCATCCTCTTTGGCAGAGCCAAGTGTCATTCTTGGGGGAGGTGACTTACACTGAGGTGCCTGTACAGTCTGCACAGCTTTGCTGAATTGATGTTCAGACCCAATTTATTTCACAAATTAAACTTCTGTGTCTGATCAAACAGAGCCTTTTGTTCAGGCAAACTATCATTGCACTTGAGTACATCAAACAATATAGGGGAATTCGATCGGCTGACCTCAGATTTTGGTTTGGTTTTCGGCTGCTTTTCCGCCTTTGTAGGGCCATTCACCATTCATCAGGTTATGACTGGCCTTCGATATGTTTCCATGCCTGTTTGTGACCGCTATTGGTGCTTTTGCAATGCTGTCTTGCCCTGCTGTTCCAGGTGTACACTTGGAAGTCTTCACTTTATGGAGATTGATATTTCCAGTTGGTTGGACTGGAGTAACAAGTTTTAGCGATGTAGTGTTATCAGGTGGAGCGCTGCATTAGATAGTGTCGAGACATGAAAGTGGCGTGCTGTTTCTGCTATCCAGAGTCACGCTGCTTGAGACTGTGCCAGCACTACAAAGTGGGCAGAAATACCAGCACCACAGGCATGCATTATTTCGCATACACTCATAATATGGTTGTGGCACCCCTTTGTCACAACGGCAGTGCACCAATTGGTTGCAAAAATTGCATTCAAATGCTGAATCAGATTTAGAAACGACAACACCTAAGGCCTGACATTCATCTTCTTTTCTAGATGACGCCTACTAGGTCTTATGACGTCTTGAGTGTTTTGCTGTATGTCACGCACTAGCTTCTGACGGATACAAGTGTATGATCACGTTTGAATTGGCTTTGCCTGTACTGTTTCAGCGCTAGACTGTGGCAGTGTAGACATGGGACCAGAACAAGGTAGAGTACACGGGTCTTTAGAATCAGTGGACAAAATTGGGTTGATGTCCCTGGGTTATTGCCTCCTCTGGCAGAATACCTTGTGACCGCGGGATATGGTGTTTTAGTGCTTTTTTGAGGCTACTTTTAACCGCCATATTAACAACTGCTATGAGATATGCTTTATATGAGCATGAGATGGCAACAGTGTCTATCCAATAGAACAAGAACAAAAGAATTGATGAAGTACAAGATGAGGGAAAGGCGTTTTCGACTTTACTCATTATTTTTGGTTACTCGGCTTCACAGCAATCATTTGACAGACCAACAAGTCTTGTTTATCTGAACGAGTGAGGAAGATGCTGCTACAGGTGTAACACCGAAAGCTTTGGCAGTGGTGCGTGACAGCTGGACTTACCATCCCCTGAGATTTGAAATGGAAGTAATGGTCGAATATAAATCACTGACTGGAAGATCAGGGTTGCCAAGTGGATAATTCATAGAAAAGGTATTTTCCGATTAGAGAGGAAAAAGCACGTCGCACTCAAGGAGCGCGCGGTCTATGCCATCTTTTTGGGCGAGGGAACAAATGAGGCATTTACCACATTGCTGTTCCCTCGGATACACGGTGAATATCTTACGTAAACTGTGAAACATAGTCCATTTGTCGTGATTCCTTTGGCGACTACTTATTTGAAGTTGATGTGAGAGAGTATGTTAGAGGTTTGTGGTCAGTGAAAACTGCGAATTCACAACCCTTCATTGGATGTCAGAATTGGCATGTAGCACAATGCATCGCTGGAAGCTCTCTGCCGAATATGCTGTACTTGTTTCTGCTAGTTGTAGACGCCTCGAGAAAAAGGCGAGCAGTTGGCACTCTATGTTGACTAGTTGCCCCAGGGCTGAGTCGATTGCAGTGTCTGAAGTGACAGCATTAAACCAATGGTTCACATGAAGTGTGCTCAGTTAGTGAGTTTTTCACCTCTCCTGCTATTAAGACGGTCACTGAATGGTATCTATTGCTTAGAGACAGTGCTGCTCAGTGGTAGCTTTACTGCCTACAAAATCACAGCTGGTTGAGGCCTTCCAAATGAAAAGTCAGAAGATATCTGATCTGGTGAAACAATTCCTGTGTAATTTGTATGTGCACTATTGATGTATTACTTGCTTTATACCTTGTAATAATCCCCTACCATCTAATAATTTTTCCACTCACTGTCTAGATTTCATCTCAACCTACCTATTTTATTATATTTGGCGATTGTTAGCCTGACTGGAGGAGTGTCCGATGAAACGGAATTATTGAGTCTCAATAGCTACACTTCTCCAGTATAAAGCCTACATCCCTCCCAATTATCATGATGTACCTCATATCATTCTGCTCAAGAAGCTGCAGCAACCTAAGTGATTGATTATACTTGTACTCACCGAGAACCATCAAGCCTTTCGGAGCAATAGCGAAGAAAAGATAAGAATTCATAAAGGGTAATATAAGGTCGTCAAACTGAAAGTTTTAAATACCTCTATTTCAAGGTCTTTGAGGGGATGTAAGCCAAATGGATTGGCGGATTTTTAAATATGTTTACTTTGATACCTTTGTTTCCTGTTTGCATTTTACTACTTCTTTATGAAAAAGGTAAGTTCAGAACAAAGAAAATTCTTCAATTAGAAACGAATTTTCATTATGCAAATCAGTTATGGTCTTTCCATCATGTTTTCCGAAACTTCAAAGGAATTCACAAATGTATTAATATCTTGTGACTTTCTGCTGTATAGCAAAAGCAGACAATAGCGATCTAATGTAAAGCTAACCAAAGTTTTTACTGACCTTTGAACAGTTTTTCGGCGATTGGTTTTCGCAATATCAAGCTTACTATAATGATGAATTAAATCACGCTAATTCTGAAATAACTCTAACATTCTATAATGAGTGAATTCCAAATATGTTCTGCAATTTCCTTCAAGCGCACCAACTAGAACTCAGTGTTGGTTTTCAGCATGACTGGCACTAATTCAGCACCGTGTTCTTTTTTCTAGGCATTTTCAGGAGTACATCCCCAAGCTTACAATAATTCTAAATTTAGCCTAACTTATTCTTCGATACTGCCTTTTAATGATAAAGGAAGATTTTATCCACATAATATATTCTGAGATAACGCTGGTCGTGCCTAAAAAGTTACGCTAGTCCGTGCTTAATACGTCCTGTGAGGGCTGGAACAACACTGATAACTAAACCTAGTTCTGATCTACTCCTGAAAATGCCTAGAAAAAGAACGCGGTGCTGAACTAGTGCCAGTCGTGCTGAGAACCAGCACTGAGTTCTAGTCTATACCATTAAGGAATCCATTTCAGAACAGATTCAGAGTTTACTCACTATAGAATGATGGAGTTATTTCAGAATTAGTGAGATTTAATTCAGCATTATAGTAAGCTTGGGTCAGAACCTACTGGGTTTAATTATCAGCGTTGTTCCAGCCCTCACAGGACATATTAAGCACGGACTAGCATAACTTCAGAACGAAAAGACTTAATTCAGCAACCAACTCTCTTTTTAAACACGACCAGCGTTATTTCAGAACATATAGTAGGTAGATAAAATCTTCATTTACCATAAAGAGGCATTATCGAAGAATAGGTTAGAATAAATTTCGAATTGTTGTAAGCTTGCGATATCCCTTCTCATTTTGTTTTATACTCTTTTATTGGCATAGTAGTATAGCTTTATTCGCTTATATGTTCTGTAGATTTTAAGACATCTTTGACAAATTATTTAAAATATTTATCAGACTGTAACACCGAACTGTTAAAGTCGTTAGGGAAGTTTGATTTATTCTCAAATTCGCGACTTTGAATTTCAACTTAAAGGGTCAGTTTACAGCTTGTTAACTGAAGTAGGCTTTTAGTTACATAGTTAGATGAGATCTCAGATTACTATTTGAAGTGACTCCGCTATTTTAACACTCAGTAGATTTCGGTGGAGTAAGGTCCTTCATTGATGGGTTGTGCATATTATGGTTGGTATAACTATAACCGCCCACATGACCCTCCAAGTACCTATGTTTACACTAATCAGCTTACAGGTCTAAATACATTCGCTAATTAAGTCAATTTCTCTCTTTGTGTGAATGTGTTCATAGCTTATTATCACCAAAAGTATTAGATGAAATAATTATACAACCAACGCCATCTCATTTACATGCAAATGGGGAAAATGAGAGGTCCTAGAATTTTTTAAATCACCCCGGAACTTACCAGTTGATATGATGACAAGGCGGTGTTAACATTTATTATTTGCCCCCCGTCTTTAAAGAAATCCTAAATCTAGTTTTTTGCCACTTTATTGATCCCGAACCTTCCTAACATTCTCAGAAAACAAGAATAAGAATCCAAATGAAAGCCTTTGGTAAAGTCGTCAAATACATAATTTACTAGTTTATAATCTTCAGTTGCTGTAGCTCAACATTCCAACTTCAAAAGAAGAATGATTTGTTCTAAAATGATGCTGTCCCTCAGGGAAAAGATAATTACCTAAAAATGTTGACTAACAACATTACGGGTGATTTTCACCAGCTATTTGGCAGAAGTACTGGTTAGACTTACGGGAGGATAATTCCAAACGAAAGTTTTAATGCTGCTTTTAAAAATCTGACTGAAAATTATGTCCTTCTGGTTTTGTAGAGATTTAGACTGGCCCAGTGAGTTAATGTGCATTACCGACAAAGTGTTGGCCATCATCCAGTCTAGTGCGAATAACATTCATGAATGTAGTTCATCAGGAAGACTGGAATTGAACTGATGGAGCAGTTTTAGGCTGATTTCACTCATTGTATAGAAATCCTATTTCAGGATCACATTCCGGAAAATCTACTACCGTTGCATTACCATTTTCAGACAATACTTGGCTGAAGTAGCTTCACAGACCCGCGATATTTTTCAAGTTGTCACATGACATGCTTGCAGCGCTTTCATCAAGTAGAGGATTTCTGATGACGGCGTTATTTGCATTTTCTCTCTAGTAGCACTACAGGAGAGTCTTCAAACGCGTCTGTAATTTCTTAACTGTCTTTGATTCATATCCCTCCATATATTGATAAATAAAGCCCCTGTACTAATTTCTGCTTTCGTAGTAGTGTAGGAAGAAATTAAGAGTCCTAATGGAGATAGCGAGAAATTATAACATTTCCATCTTCTGAAGGAGTGTCACAGCCTGTCTATTAATCTATAGAGATGATTTTTGGGCTCACTAGGAATCCTCATTGGAATGAATTCTGATGTGACCATCCCTAGTGTTTTGTTGAATTTATTCCAGGCATCATCAATAGATGAGTCACTACTGACCGATCACTCCACATCTAAAGCTCACTCCTTAATAGATATGATATCTACATGCCAAACCTTAAAATGAGCATGGGGTTGCATCTGGACTTAATTTCAAGCTCTGATGTTGAGTGGAGTGGTCACTAATAACTAAAGTAGAAGCGATGACTAGACTATTTATGTTATCTACACGTGCACAAAAGCACCACTGTGTACCTCTACCTTCTTTTACTACTAATTTGCTTATGTTTCTGAAACCAAAGATCTTACATGAGTTCAAATGCCAGTGAGACTTCATTAACCTTAGAAACCTTGAAAAGGATAGTCCCAGGAAATCGATTGTCCATCTTCTTTTGTGTGTGTGCCTGTCAGCTTATTAGAATTGAGTAAATGAAATTTGAATGGCCTATATTTAGACACGAAAAATACTTTTCAGCGTAAACCACTGCTGTTTATGAAGCTAATTATGAGTTATTTGTTAATTATGAATATATTTTAATGTCATCATTAAAGTAATTTTTATATCCCAACTCAGTGATCATTACTATGAACACTTTTATTAGGTTATTAATGTGTTTCTGCTATCCCCATTGTCAAAGATTATTACTAGCATACCCTTACTGATGTGCGTCGGTGGTATAGCGGTTGGGACGCTCGCCGACCATGCACATGGTCTGGGGTTCGATCCCCGGCCGACGCACTCCTTTACCTCACTAAGCCAGAAATAAAAGCTGGTAAAGAGGAAAGGTTGGGTATGAGGCTAGCAACCCCATCCTGTAAAAATAAACACTGCTACAGAAACTTCAAGCCTCTAGCTTGATGAAGCCCTTTGTTCCACTGGGGAACGTGAACGAAAAAAAAAATACCCTCACTGATAGCTTTTCCTACAAAATGAAGGACAAGGCTACATATATAGCAGTGAATCAATCGGTTTTATTGGCTGAAATGAATGTTTCAAAAGTTCCTAACATAGCGAATAGTTCATCTGAATAGTGTTTAGACTAGAAGAAGTTACCGACATAGTGTATTTCATATACTGTATATCGGAAGAATAAGTGTGATGTCATACTGATGGCGGATAGGGATATCATAGCAATTAAGTGTTTCTCTTTTATAATCAGCTAGGTGGCTAGATTGCATCCCCGCGCAGAGGAAACGGGTTAGAAACGGTCAAGTCCTCGGCATTTCGTATAGATACAGTTCCAAAAATCACTTCAGATAGACTGTATGTGTGATTGGTCCCAAGAAGTACTCCCCTGAGCTTTGTGGCAACTCAGCGTAAATAATCTTTCTGTTTCAGTTCACTTTGGTAGCTGGCCTCCAAAATGGTACCTTAGGAATATCTTACATGGTGTAAACTTGGTTTCCTTTATGGTTCATTTACATGAATTAAGCCGAGTCATTCACGTTATCACTCCCTGTAAACTACTTGGCACTACAGTTGTTTAATGACACTTCTCTCGATACGTTATGTAGTATATTTATCTACTGATGGAGTACTGAAAAGACTTAATATTTTGCAGCTGTGTTTATCAGTATGCAGCATTCAGCCTTCTGTCTCCTTTTAATTTTGTGATTATCAATCTCTCCCAAGCTTTGAGCGCATTACATCGAACAATGCCTGAAGTTTTTTCCACTTCTAAAGTCTGTTGTGTTTTTGCGCTAGTTCTCACTTTCTGGACGAATTCCAGTCCGGGAGTTTGTGAACTCTTTCTGCATTAAAAGACTCCGTACATTATACATTTGAAATCTTTTGGTCTTTCACTTTCACTATCAAGCCTTTGTGTTATATTTAATCTTTGGTTTCATCGTTTCTTGATTTTAAAGAGACCAGGAGACTTTTTCCCCAGTAAATAATTATCTAACCAAAAATATTGTAATATCCATTCGGTTGCTAAGACCGTCTCTGATCTGAATTATATATATATATATATCATTGTATTACTTGTATGATAAAGAATCTAAAATGGCAGGACAGACAAAAATACTGTGCTACTTGATTGTACATTTTTGGCTGTTTTCCTACAATTCTGTGTCATCAAGATGAACTTTGAGTCAAGATATTTTATAATAAAGGATGGTGATTCGACAGGATAAAAGGGATGATAAGATTTCAGATTCGATCACGGCTTGACATACGTTAGACAGCCATTCGAATACTACCAGGGAGTACTGGACAGCTCTTTTCTACCGAGTTGGGCATCATCAGCAAGCAGTACGCAATCCTCCATCGAAGTTCGAACCTAGAACCTTCAGATTACAAGGCGAGGTCGTGGAGCATTATGCCTCGGGGACCTGGTGTAGTGACCATTGCATCAG